AACACGGACAAGGGGGTCTTTTCCGTTCCAAATCCAACGCGCCTGAACGTGCGCTGCGACACCTCGGAGCACGGAATCTCCGCCCTGGTACATACTCTACTACTACTACATAAAGCAGGAATAGTGTATGTAGTCTGATCTATCGCATTTTTCTTAACGATTTTATTTTTCTTTCTTGCAGGGTTCGTCCGCTGAGACGTCCGCCGCCAGTCAGGACAGTGTGGACGGGAGGGCCATGTCTCCGGTTTTGAATAGCCAAGACATGGCTTTTCTCTCGCAGCTCGTTAGCGAGAGCCTGGCTGCGTTTCTGAACGAGCCGATCGACATCACTGACTCGCCTGTGACTTCGCCTGTCGAGGTCATAGATTTGGCGAGCCCTGCTGTGACCCCTACCCGGCCCGATTCAGCTGGCACCCCTGCCGCTGCCCCTTCTCCGCCCGCTGCCCCTGCTGACGCTACGCCGCGCCCCGCCACTGATGGCGTGGCCGCCTCGAGCCCCACCCCTGCCGAACCTCAGTTTGTCGATGACGCAGCGGTGATTGACTTTATGAACACTGTAGATTTTCCTGTTGTCCCTCCCTCCTTGAAGCATCGTCCAGTGTTAGTGCGATGGCAGGACATTCCCCTGACACTGAATGACAATAAGAAAATCAGAATTGGCATATATTTGGCGAATAATTTTGAGATAAGCGCCCAATTACTGAGCCTTGAGGGGCGGATGACCGCCTATGTTAACCTTGCAGTGGAGGAGCTTCGAGGGCTGCTCATGTCTGATATTAATAAAACGGTCAAAAAAATATTTTATGTAGAGAAAAGTGCTTTCTGTGATGTCTCAGGTCTTCACTTTGAAAGAAATTTTCTGGAAGATGGACTAAAACTAGTAAAATTGACAAGATTGTCAGGGGGTCTTTCAATCAATTTTACCCAGAGCGCATGGGATAACTTCATAGGGTTGAGCGAGATTATCAGCGCTGCTTTGGACAAGGTCTCTGGAGACCAAATCTTTGATTCTACTTATTACTCTCAAATGTTAGGAGAGGTGAAAACCTCTCTGAGTAGTCGTGATTTTACGAAGGATTCAATTGAAAAGTTGTCGTTCAGTCAGAGGAAAGCCCTGCTCACTCAGACCTTGTTGGAGTGTTCAGATTATCTAGAATGTTTGGTCAGCCGAAAGAGAAAGCCCGCATTCTCTTAAAGTGTGTTGAAATTATATATTTCTGTCATGCTTTGGCAGAGGGTTTTGATTGATATTTATTGATATTTATGTATGAAATCAGAGTAAAATAAGAATGAAATGAAAAAAAATGGCTTTGTACTTTTTTCTTGAATGTGTATCCTATCAAAAAAATATGAACGAAAACCGGAGAAAAATATTATCAAAAGAAAGAATCGTGCCCAGGACACGATTGCCGGCCACCCATTCCCGCCTGTTGCTCAGCCACTTTTCCTGCCACTTCTCTTTCTTTTCCATTCACCTTACTTTATCTCAGACGTCTTAGAGTAATTGGTAATTCAATTTTGCCCCAACAGGACGATTGATGTGGGCGGCGACGGCCGCGGCGACGCCACCCATGGATGTCCACCGGAGTGTCCACCGGTGCCACCGGCGCAGCGTCACGGGCCGTGGTCACGGGCTAGCGTTGGTGAAGGAGCCCTATCAGTTTTGCCAACTTGCCAAGGACAGGCACCGCGCCGAGGTCTGATACGACTCGGGGCCACTCACAGCGGAGACAACCAGAACGTCACTCTGCCCGAGCAACCCACGATCAAACCAACGACCGAATGTATCTTGTAGTGGGTGAGTGTCGTGAACAAGAATAAAACCTGGAAGCTGTACTGTCTCCGTGCATTGAAGCCGATCTGGACGACAGCCATGAAGGGCACTACACGATCTGCCATCCTCGTTGGCAGATTCGCCGCCTTCCGGAAGTAACATGCTCAACAGCAGCATAACGACGATCAGCTAATCGACGACAGACCACACTCACTGTTTTACCACGCAAGACACACGGACAAGTGGGTCTTTATCGTTCCAAATCCAACGCGCCTGAAGGTGCGTCGTCATGGCCCAGCCCGTCAGTGTCCAGCACAGTGTCAGTGCAGTGCTCCACCGCCGTCACCCTGTTCAAGAGCCAAGATCGCTACCACCGGCTTCCTTGCTCCACGAAGCGCAGCAGACACCACCCTGGCGTTGGTCTTAAGATCCGTCATGGACGATCTCCGGACACTCCGACGCCAAGAAGAAGCAATTGCCAACCCCCTCCGCAATCTGCAATCTCAGCTGGACATTTACCTCACCGAGCTACTGCCGCCACCTCCACGAGGCTACGTGGGATCAAGAGCAGTACTAAACAGCATCCGAACCGGAAAAATAAGGCCCACCCCCTTCTCGAAGACTTGACTGCAATCAACCATATCAAACAGCCCTTACATCCGCAAGCTAATGAGGTACGACCCGGCCAGACGAAGTTCTTAGCATCGGCCGCTAGGTGGCGCGCTACTGGTTTCTGCATTTTGACTTCTTTAGTTCTTCTCTCGACGACGAGCGAAAGGGACTATTCTCACGTGAAGGACTCGACATCCTATAATTTTATCCTTAAGCATCGCGATCAGTTTAACCAGACTTCAAATTTACCTAAAGGTTGTTGTTTCCTCAACTCTCCCGAACGACAGACCCATTCATCATTAACAAATTTTTCTTAAGTTAAATCACAACGGGAATCACGCGAGACTGCATTGAAAAGGCCTACCATAAGTGTAAATTGAACCGCAATGGTGTCTAGACAATGAGCATGCTGATTAAACTATTGATAAAGCGTTGAGATACTGAAGTCTTAAGCTTTATTTTCACACACTTTTGAAGTTTGTTTTACCTGCGCAATGGTGAGTGTAACATAGCTATAGATCAAGCTGAAGTTTCGAAACTAACTGCGAAAAAACTGCAGTCAGGCTATTCTTACGAGTACCACCTGAACAATGCACAAACTTGTAAGTAACTACTAGATAGCTTAATGACACTTTAACTGTACTGAAGACCGCAGTTTGTGCACTGCAGTTTTTCATGCAGTTCACTGCAGTTGTTACATCATGCATGCCGGCATGTTACGACGTTTTTGGTCCGCGGCTGGTATCTCGATTGATCACCGAGCTGCCGGCTGCGGGCCATGGTACGTTTCCACGGTTTTGGCTAATATGGCAAGTGGCGAGCAGCGGCGTGAGAAGCCGAGCTCCGAGAGGCATCTTCTTGGAACAGCATCCGGCCCGGCGGCCTGAGGGGCCCAAATGTGACAAACATCCCTGTCGCATCCCCTCCAGCCCCGGTGTCCGCGGCAGTTAAATACAGAGGCCTCTCGGTGGCTCGGGGTCACTCCGAGAGTAGCGTTGCTGCCCGTCACTCTGCCCGAGCGCGCAGCAACCTCCTTGAAGATTATTGTATTGCAACCTCCATCGAAGACTAGACCATGTGCAAGTGTAACGGTTTGTTGGGTGAGTGCCAACGCCAATAAATAGAGTGAAGCTTCCACTGTTTTATCACTGTGCCCTGAGAATCGATCCCTCGATCCCCGCCGGGTTGATTGTTAGCCCACGAAGAAGCGAGACTGCCACACATAACAATTTGGTGTCAGAAGTGGGATCGATTCTCTGCACGGAGTGACCCGAGACCGCGCAGTGATAAAGTGAAAGTGTTTTGTTGGTGACTCGTGGACTGTGACTGTTGGGTGTGATTGTGAATGCCTACGCGGGAGTCTATAACCGCCTGGCTGAGATCCCCCCAGCAGAGACGCCTTCGTCGCCGTTCTTGGGGCTCAGCAAGTTTGCCAGACATGCCGGAGCACGAAGAGCGGGTCCTGGTGAATGGCGGCGCTAGCGGCAGCGGGATCGGCGCGGCCAGCAGCGGCAGCAGCGGAGCCGGCAGCGGCAGCGGATCGGGCAGTGGCCCCGGCCCGCGCCGCGTCCCCGAGCTGCACCCCGAGGCCCAGCCCCAGCTCCTCGCCTCCATGCTCGCCGACGTGACGACCTACGACGGCGAGGGCCCCGCCACGCGCTTCTTCAAACAGCTGGAGGACGCGGCCCGTGTGGGCGGCCTCACCCCGTCCACCCTCGCCATCCTGGCGAGAAGTAAGCTGAGGGGTGCCGCATCCAGGTATGTGGAAACCACCGTGTCGCTCGCGGACACGGAGGACTACACGTACCTGAGGGACAGCGTCATCGGACGTTTTGCCCAGCGGGAGAGCGAGGCCGCCGCTGAGAAGCGCCTCAGCACCTGCACCCAAAAGTCGAACGAGCGGGTCACAGAGTACTGTGACCGGCTCAAGGCGCTTGGGAATGTGCTCCTGACCTCCATCCTGAGCGTAGGTGACAGAACCGAGGCTCAGAAGGAGCACGAACGGGAGACCTTCCGCGGGCGACTCCTACGGAAGTTCATTAGCGGGCTCCGCGCCCGGCGCAACTCGCGGCTGAGTCGCGCCCCTCTGCTTCGCGCCCCCGTCGCTCTGCAGGCCGCCCCTCGGCTGCGCCTGGGCTGGAGACGGGACTTCTGCCCTTCTCGTGCCGCATGGGCCTCATTCGAGGCCCCCAGGAGACGCAACTGTGGGGGTTTTGCGAGCGGATGGGCCTGCCTTACATTGACGGTAAGCGAGCAACCCGGTTGTAATTTTCTTCTGAGTCCCCAAATCCCCGGGGCTAGAGCGAGCGGTTAAGTTACTTGAATTCTACCTTTTCCAGCCCGAGGGACCTACTACCTGCAAGCGGGGCATCGCGGGGCCCCTTGGCCCCTTGCTCCCTGGGAGACCGCGGCGGAGCTCCAACGGCCGCCCCGAGGAGGCTGCCTCCGCGAGGGGCCCTCCTGCCGCAGGGGGGTTGCGTCGCAGTACTGGCGGTTGTCGGTGCTGCCAACCGAGCCCACCCACGCACGGCGATGACTGAAAGGGTCTATTCGCCCAACAACAGATCAAAACCGTTCGGGTTTTCTCGAGTTTTTTTCCCCTGATCATTACGTGTGCGTGGAGCAGCGCCCTTGGCTTTGGTCAGTAATAGGGTACACCAGAATCTTGAAACGGCAGAAGAGGATCAGGAGAAAGCTCTGTAAACAGCTTCTGCGCATGCGCAAACGTTCCCCCACCACCTGGTGCGTATGCACATGAAGCTGTTTTCAGGGCTCACTCTTGCTCTTCTTCTTCCATTGGAAGATTCCTTGGGTTACCCTATTACATTGCAGGTCAGCCGAGCAACTGTCACAGCCCCTGTTCCTCAGTCAAGTAGTAAGCAGCAGGCCAAGTGAACTTCTTCGCTCTTCAACGTAAAGGTTTGCAGAAATATTTAACATCAAATGCGAATTATAACTGTTGAAGACGAAAGAGCATGCCGTTTGTTCGTGCGCGTTGATGGATGGTGTACACTAAAGTACCTTCTCTTATCGTAGCCTCACTGATAAAACTAAAGCGTAACTTTATTCTTGAGTCAAGCACAAAGTTACGCTTGAAGACGTTTCGTTTGAAATGAAGCATAGACTAGAAATTCCCCCATGCATTTAGATAGGAGGAATCTAGGCGGCTGAGTCTGTTACGCTCGATTTCAAGCGTAAACTGACTACGCTTGAAAACGAAGGGCATTGCTACCCTTTAGTTTTGTCAGTGTTGCCGTGCGACACCTACCTCGGTCGTCGGTGCTATCCTCTGTGCTAGGCGCTCTGCCAGTGTGAGGTCTCGCAGTTGACAGGGTTTGCTCTGAGCAGAACTTTCACGGCGCCGGTGGGATTGGCTGTGCTGGTTGAAGGTGGCTACACTGTCCGCGATCGCCAAGCGGGCTACAATCAAAGAGGGTGAGGGCGCCTACAATGGCAAATCCACGACAATCGCGGGTTCTCTTCTCTTTTCAGCAACGGAATAGAGCATTTTAATAAATCGAGCACCCAGACGAGAGGATTTAAAAAAGGGAAGTAGTAGAGGTGGTTGCACTTTTAGCACGTTACTGACTTTTTGCTCATATTGTCTGTACGCAAGTAATTTGTGCAACCATGATTCGTACTTTTCGTCATTTAAGGAAGTACTTAGGAATAGGGTATTTCGGAGCAGCCCTGGCCCGGAAGAAGAAGAACAAAAACGGAAGTTAGAAATGACAGCTTCTATGAGAAATATACGCTCCAGATGAGCATCCGCAGCGTATATTTCTCATAAAAACAGCAATTTCTAACTTCCGTTTTTGTTCTTCTTCTTCCGGGCCAGGGCTGCTCCGAAATACCCTATTATCAAATAATGTACTGGTTGGTTTCGTTAATGATTTCACGAGGGATATATAGTACACGCTCGTTTTCTTGCGTACGGTTTTATACGGAAAACGTCAGTAATGTGTTGAGAATGCAAAGAGCTCATACGCGTTCATCTCGCGGTCCCTTGCGCTCTATACTCAAAAAAGAATTGCACTTCAAAAGAAACGCTAGAAATTCAAATTTTGACCAGTCTCTTCCGCACATCCTTTCAGTCACGTGACTACCTGAATCTAAACTGCCCATTACCAGTAACTGCTGCGGTTATTTCATTTCAGTTCGATATCGTAGAGGGTAAGCTAAAATTTTAACAACGTTGCTTTATGGATTCGTCCCAACACAATAACTGTTTAAAATGTAAATGGCATACACTCTCAGACTCAAATTGACTTTTTTCTTTCAACTATCGACTTTTTCTCCTTTGTTTGCCTACTTTTTTGAGCAGGACCAATATGTATTATTTCCTTTGTAACAATGCATATTTTTCACTGCAAAGTCAAAATTCTCATAAGTATTGACTATATTTTTGAAGTCAATTGTGTATTTGTTACGGCTAATGACGGGTACCCGGCTCGTGAGACACATGTGGGGGAGGGGAGCCATTTATTTTTGCAGTTCCTATTGTTGTGGCATTTGCTCTTGCATATGTTATGTGCATAACTGAACCCCCTTTGGCGACGGTCCCCTCGGTGGAAACTGCCAGCCCTGCAGCGCGCGTGCACCACACCGTCAGCCGGATCGCGCATCCGGCTCGACATCGCAGAATCGCGGAAATCTCCTAAGACCACTCTTTCCAACCCCGCTGGAGGCAGCTCGGCCGGGCAGAGCGGGGGGCAGGGGAAGGGTGGCGTGACACCCCTCGCCTCACCCCCTGATCCGATCTGCTGGGTATTTAGTCTCCAAACGGCTCGGTCTCCACTCTACCAAAAATGTCCTGTAAATGCCGTTAATTTATTACCAGTTTTCACTGAAGGTCAATTCACAGCGTTTACTGTGATCTGCTCACGGGATTCACTGTGATCTTGTTCGCGGTGTTCACTGTGATCTGGTCCCCAGTAAACACTGTGAGTTTGACGCCGCTGAGCACCGAAGTACTGCAAATCAGGCTCGAATTCACGGCGTTTACTGTGGCCAGATCACAGTGAACACTGTAACCGAGATCACAGTGAACGCCGTGAGCTAGTTCACAGCAAACGCCGTGAATTGCATAACAGCAAACATTGGTAATAAATTAACGGCGTTGACAGGACATTTTTTGTAGAGTGTCGTGGCCATTCCGATTCGATCGACGAGAGACCCAACGCCGCCACTCTGCCCGACGGAGCCCTGTTTGAACCTTGTGTAAGACTATACAGTGTACCAGTGTAACCCGTGCATTAAACAGTGTGTCCCTGAGCGGCGTGTGTTCGATCAAACCCCCTGTCCAACCCCAAGAGAATCCTGAACCCACCGGGCATTGTGACCCAGCGACAGAAGCGAATTCACAATATTGGTGTCAGAAGTGGGATTCTCTAGGGTTGCCAGGAGTGGCCCGCGTTTTGGCAGCGTATGCCGAACAAGACAGTTACCTCGCGACTGCGCGAGTGGGTGCGCTCCCCATCGAGCCGGCTCCGCCGTCACCGTTCAGCGAGTTCACTACCCACTCCCCGTCGCCGCACCATGGACATCTGGGACGACGCTGTTTCGGAGGGCGACTCCGAGTACGAGCAGGACGACTTCATCGGAGTGGTGCAGCCTTCCTCCGGCCCCTCCGGGACTCCCTCCGGGTCCGGTCACTCCTCGAGCGGCCCCAACAACGGACCAGACCCCACCCGCCAGCAACACCAGCAGACAGAGGTACCCCTTCCTGGTTTCACCGCTGTTCATGCGTTCCCGGGCGCGCCCGGTTCTGCCCCAGGGGAAGGTTTCCACCAACTCCGCCCCGGCCACGCCGAGGCCCCCTGGCCCCTCACTGCCGGCGAGGAGATGATTTGTCTCCTCACCCCCATCGAGGGGTCCCTGTGGGAGGGACCCGACCCGCGACGGCCGGGCCCCAACCAGCAGCGCGGATGGGCCTACACCGTGCAGCCGGGGCGCCCGGAGTCCGACCCCGTGTCCCTAGACCTGTGGGTCCGCGACAGGGACCGGGGTTTGCTTTTCGAGTGGGCCTGCCGGCGATTCAAGGATCTCCACTTCAAGTATACACTCGAATGGGAGACCGGCCGCCGCGTTAGCCGGACCTACACATGGTCACGGCCTCCCGGCCAATCTGCGATCTCCGGGCCGGGGACGACCGTCCGTCGAAGCTAATGGGGAGGGGTGGGGAGCAGATTGAATGTGAAAATAAAAGAAACTGATTTAACTGTCTGTGTACTATTTGCTTACCCGGAATTGCAATAAACCAGAAAGAAAGGGAAGGAAAAGGGCGGACACGGTTAAACCTTACAGGGGTTAATCTAGCGGGGGAGGGGGTAACACAATGCTTACATCTAATTTGACCTAATTTGAACCAAAACCCCAGATCCCTAACTCTTGTTGAGCCTTATCGGAGGGTCAACTTCGGGACGCCGAGGACGACCATTTCGCCGGGTCGGACCAGGGAGGCAGTACTCTGGTCCGGCCCACGCCTCCACCCCACCGAGAGGGCGCTTCGCGGACGGAGCCCCGCCGAAGGACTCTCGGGGGCGTCATTGGCGCTAGCCAACGGGCCGCCGGGACAGGGACGTCCCGGGGCCAACCCCACGTCGACAACAGTTGACCGGCCGCCGAGATCGAGCCGCACGGACCGAGCGCCGCTGCAGGAGGTCTCGGGGCACCACCACTTTGGCACCAGCCAACGGGAGCTCCACGTCGACACCCGTCGACCGGCCGCCGGGACTTGGGCTTCGCGGACCGAGCGCCGCCGAAGAAGTCTCGGGGCACCCCTGGATCGGTGCTAGCCGATGGGCCAGGGTCACCACCCCCGAGTTCACGCTCGGGGCGCACCACCCCCGAGTTAACGCTCGGGGTGCACCACCCCCGAGTTCACGCTCGGGGCGCACCACCCCCGAGTTAACGCTCGGGGCGCACCACCCCTGAGTTAACGCTCGGCGTCACCGCCGCTGGGAGAGAGCGCTCTCAGGGCATACCCCGAAGGCTGGCGGCCAAACCGCCAGCAGCAGAAGAGAGAGGGAGAGAGAGAGGAGGGCGCCAGGCACAGACGGTAACCGTGTTTCCCCTTTTTCCGCAGGGCGCACACACACGAGTCATGACGTCCCAACTCCTCCACCTGGTCCTGACCGCCACCCTGCTGATCGCCGCGCCGCCACCGTCCATGGGCGAGGACGACGGCGACTACTCTGTGGCCAAGCTGCAAGGCTTGGACATCAGGCCGCTGCCTCCAGGACAGCAGCACGGCCTCAGCCTGATGAACGAGGGTCGTTTCACGATAGCAAACGACGTGTGGACTCTGGCCGTCGCGCTGGACTTAGGGAGCTTCCGGACCGCCGTTCGGAAGATCTCGGCCAACACGGACGTCATGAAACAACTCAGCGGGAACTTCACCCTGCTGGCCCAGCCCTCGTCGTGAGCCACCGACTCCTCGCGGGAGTTTTCGGAAGCCGTAGCTGCGCCCCTGGAGACGGAGGTGGCCGCCGTCCGGGAGGACCTGGACACGGCCTCCAAGAACCTCCGGAACCTGGAGATTGCTACCTCCCCGGCGAGGCTGGCGCCGCCACCCACCCCCGCGCCTAGGACTGGAAGCCCGCCCCAGGACACCACTCCGGAGCCAGTCCCAGCGCCAGCCCGAGCCGGCCGTGTGTGCGCCGCCGCCAGTGAATTTCAGCGCCGCAGTTGCGTCGTTGTGCACCGGAGCATTAACCTTTAAACAGAGGTGAGTGCATAGAGTGTTTGTTTCACAGCGATCTGCAGGATCCCTACTTAGTGCTAGCTCATCTAAAACCCGTTCTGTGCCTCTGGACCAGGTCGCGCCAGTTTCAGAGCGGAAGGAATATGGAATCCTTTCGAGACTTATGCCGACTGCCCATCCTGAGTGGGGCATCGAAATGGAAGAGAAGGGGATTGCCTTTGTTCTGCGACCGGTGGGGGCTATGCTACGTAAACCGTAAGTATTGGACTACATTTCTCGGGAGTGGGGTGCTGAGGGTGAATTCTAAGGGTGTTCTGTTTCCAGGGAGGGGGCATCATTTTGTCCCTCACAACCGGGAAAAGGAGGTGTTTGAGAGGCACCGGGAGGACATGTGGGGGGAGCATTGCGTGGGAGGGGTCCCCGCTCCCTGGTTTCTCCCCATGCCACCGGTGTCTCTAAGCATCCACCAATGCCAGCTGCGGCGGCGCCGCGGCCGCCTGGTACGGTCCTGGGTCATGGTGGCCCGGGACTACGACGGCTGCTCGGAGCAGCGAGAACTACACCTGGAAGAAGGAGAGGAGCGGTGGCTGTTTGAGTGGGCTCGCCGCCGAATGAGGACAAAAGCTACAACCGTATTTGACCGGACGCGGTCCCACAGGGAGGGCCGCGTGGTGTACTCGTGGAGGGGTAACTGCTACTGACTGTACGGGTGGGGGGGGGGCTTTATTGTGAATTATATTGAAAACTTGAATTTCTGTGTTGTCTTTCTTTGCCCTATCCGTTTCCGCAGAGCGGGGAAAGGGGAAGGGTGGGGGGTCGACCTGGCCCTTACAGTGCGTGCCTACTGGGAGAAGGGGGCCGGGGGTTTCCAGCTCCGCGCGGCGGCCGAGGTCGGCCAGCGCAACGCTCGCGGCGCGGATTACCGAATGGCGCGGGGGCGCGCCAGAGGTAGTGGGCGCGGGGGAATTTGACTGAAAAGCGGAAAGTGAAAACTAGGGTCACCTTCCGGGGACTAGATTGAATATACAAAAGGACACCCAAGCCAACTCAGTATGGAATCACAGATACACAACTAAGATGACGTTTGAACGAAAAATGAAATTTCGGAAAAATTGAAATTGAAAGGAGAAAGAAAAATGAATTTACAGGAAGAGCTATGCTCGAACCCCTTCTCCCTTACAAAAAGAGTTCCCACTAGATTGAAAAACTTGAATCGAAAAGCCACAGAAAGTTTGTACTTAGCCTAGTCAACCTTCCTCCCGGCTGCAGCCGAGTCGCCAACGAGGTTATGTAAGTGCAGCGGCCCGCCGGCCTTCGCTGCAGTCTGGCGCAGTCCGGGGTTGCCCCGGTGGAGACACTGCATCTCGTTGACACCGCAGAGTGGGAGGGGTTGAGGGTGGTCGCGAGCCCAGGGTTGCCCAACCCTGGGCTCCGGGTTACGTGGTTCCACGGCGGCCGGTCCGGGGTTTTCTGGTACAAAAGGGCGGCCGCGGCGAGGGTGGAGCACAGTTCTCCAGCAGCGCCCTCCGCCGCGTTGTGTCCCGCCGTTGTGAAGTACCCGCCGCCGTAGAAAATGGAAGCTGTCCGGGGTGAGAGGAGTTGCAGGGTGAGTGTTTGAAGTCCCAATTGCCGGAGAGTTCCCTGACCTAAGTGCTTAGCCTAATTGGTATGATTTTGCGTCGGCCTGATTTAGCCCGCGTCCGCCCGGCCTGTCGCCCCTCGCGAAGGCGGCGCGGTTGGCGGGGCCCGGGCGCACCGACCCGCTCGCCGGCACCCTGTGCCGGTCCCCGCCCCAGTGATGTCGTTCCGGAGGCCCTTCCTCCGGGAACTGCCTCGGGAGTGCCAGCCGGCTCTGCCGCTTGCCCCCCTCGAGGTGGCTCTGCGCCGATGGTCCGAGGCACAAGGAGTGCCCTACATCGACAGTGAGTATTCGGAAAGGTGACTGATGTAATTATTGTCGCGAGTATTGGATGTTAATTTGGACCGGTTCTGCCCCAGGGGAAGGTTTCCACCACCTCCGCCCAGGCCACGCTGAGGCCCCCTGGCCCCTCACTGCCGGCGAGGAGATGATTTGTCTCCTCACCCCCATCGAGGGGACCGTCGCCGAAAGGGGGTTCAGTTATGCACATAACAACTGTTGTGCTTCCAGGTTGTTTGGTGGGGGCGCTGGCACTGGCGCTAGTGGCGGCGGACAAGCCGCCCATGAACATCCGGCGATTTTCACCCGTGGAGTCACATGGGCTGGCGCTGGTCCGCGAGGGGCGTTTTGTGGTGGCATCCGACACGTGGGCGCTCGCGGTGTCACTGGAACTGACCTCGTTTTTGAAGACGGTCAACCGACTGACTTCAAACGCGAGGACCATGCGACAACTGGCTTCCAACTTCACGGCTCTGGCGGTGCCTACAAGTCACGTGGACAACGCCACCAAGGAGTACGCGGAGGCCATATCCGCTCTGCTAGACTCCGAGGTGAGCTCCATCCAGGACGACCTCACGGCTACGAGCAAGCACCTGAAGATGCTCGAGGTCGCCACGTCGACGCAGCCAACTGCACTGCCCGACCCCACATCGTCACCACTGGGCAAGCGGCAGAGGCGAGCCTGGATTCCGATCGGAGGCGACGCCCTGAAAACTGTTTTCGGAGTAGTAGCCACCCAGAGGGACGTCGAACGCCTCCAGGGGCAGCTCAGCCGCTTGCAGGTCGGCCAGCGGGAGGTTGGCCACATCCTTGAGTCCCAGGCTTCTTTGCTGAACTCAACCTTCCCCAACACGCCCCGGACCTTCGATACCCTGTGGGTCCCTGTTCGAGACCGGCCCCTTCTGCTAGAATACGTCTGCAGGAGGTTCAAGGGCCTCCGCTGGCGATTCTGCCTGGAGGCCGATCCCGGCGAGAGGCCCCACCTGGAGGCTGTTCCTCTTCGACTGGATCCAGGGCATGACCCGGCTCACCTTCCACCTGTCCTCCCCGGAATTCCACGTCCTCTACCTTTGGTGCTACCGGCGGATGGGGGCCCAGCCCGTTCTGGCCAGGGCAGGGCCGAACACGCTTCTTGTGTGGGACCAGAAAGAAATTATGAGAGAGAAGATCAGGTCAAATAAATTGAAATTATGAAATTCTGTGTTGTCTATCTTTGCCCTGCCCGTTTCCCTATCGCGGGGGGGGGGGGGGGGGCAGGGCAATTTCAAATTGAAATTGACAAAAGAATGAAAATACAGTGAGAGCTACGCTCGAGTCGCTGTGCACCGGAGTTTTAACCTTGAACAGAGGAGAGTACAAATAGTGCTTTGTTTCACAGTGTTTCTGCAGTATTCCCCACTTAGTGCTAGCTTATCTAAAAACCGTTCTGTGGACCAGGTCGCGCCGTTTTCGGAGGGGAAAAATGGAATCCTTCCGTGACTTATGCAGGTTGCCGGCGATGCGCCGGAAACCTGACGCGGCCGATCCGGACCGGCTGGAAGAATTTTGCCGGGGATACAAGTTGATCTTCGTGGACGGTGAGTGTTCGAAAGCGAGTGTGCAGAGGGGTGCAAAAGTAGGAGTGCCGCAGTGGAATGTGTGCTAACTGCTGTCCTTTCTGCTTACAGAGGGAGGGTGGCATTACCCTTCATGGAAGAATAAAATAACGATGGAGAGCTACCTCATACTCCATGACCTCATCGCCCTCGCTCGCGGGGAGCCGGGGCCGGTCAGCGTGTTCCCACCCGACCGGATGGTAATAGAAAAGGGGAACGAGGTCCGTCGAGGCCGCCGCTGGGTAACAACCTGGCGGCTATTCATCCGCGACGCGATCCAGGGCTGGTCGCAACCGACATTCCACCTGCCCTCCCCGGAGCAGCACCTCCTTTACCTGTGGTGCTGCCGGAGGATGACAGCACAGCCCGTTCTGGTCGGGAGAGGGCCAAAACCATGCTTCGGATGGGACCGGGAAGAAATTATGCTTGCGAAGCTCAACCAGAATATATCGAAAGTTTCAAATTCGGTGTTGTCTTTCTTTGCCCTAACCATTTCCACAGCGCGGGGAAAGGGAGGGTGGGGGTCGACCTGGCCCTTAAAGTGCGTGCTTACTGGGAGAAGGAGGCCGGGGGTTTCCAGCGCCGCGCGGCGGCCGGGGTCGGCCAGCGCAACGCTCACGGCGCGGATTACCGAATGGCGCGAGGCCCGCCGAAGGCCGGTCCGGGGGGCGTTCTGTTACAAAAGGGCGGCCGCGGCGAGGGTGGAGCACAGTTCTCCAGCAGCGCCCTTCGCCGCGTCGTGTCCAGCCGTTGTCAGATCCCCGCCACCGTAGAAGAAATGGAAGCTGTCCGGAATGGGAGGAGTTGTAGGGTGGGTACTCGAAGTTCCATTCGCTGAAGAGTTCCCTAACCTAAGTGCTTAGTCTAATTCGTATGATTTTGCGTCGGCCTGATTTAGCCCGCGTCCGCTCGGCCTTTCCCCCCTCGCGAGAATGGCGCGGCTGGCGGGGCCCGGGCGCACCGACCCGCTCGCCGGCACCCTGTGCCGGTCCCCGCCCCAGTGATGTCGTTCCGGAGGCCCTTCCTCCGGGAACTGCCTCGGGAGTGCCAGCCGGCTCTGCCGCTTGGCCCCCTCGAGGTGGCTCTGCGCCGATGGTGCGAGGCACAAGGAGTGCCCTACATCGACAGTGAGTATTCAAAGGGGTGACTGATAGAATTATTATCGCGGGTATCGGATGTTAATTTGGACCGTTTCTGCCCCAGGGGAGGGTTTCCACCACCTCCGCCCAGGCCACGCCGAGGCCCCCTGGCCTCTCACCGCGGGCGAGGAGTTGATTTGTCTCCTCACCCCCATCGAGAGGTCCCTCTGGGAGGGCCCTGACCCCCGGCGGCCGCCGGCCCCAACCAGAAGCGCGGCTGGGCATACAC